GTTGTTCGTCATTTACACTTGATCAATAAATTCATTTATCAACTCCCCCTAAGATTAAAAACAAAAAACAATAAACGCCAATCAAACATGTAATTATTAGTATTTGTCACATTAAAAAAAGCTTGTGAAAAAGCTCATTTGGAGAACATAAACTATATTAATTAAAGATAAATGAAGTACTTTGTTCAACGAGTTTAAGCTGAAATAGCCAAATGAGATTAAGCTCATAAAGGTAGTTTTGCATTTTTTGCAAGTCTTACCAAGAGCTAGCCTCTAACCAGAAGAGACTAACCAATGCACCGAAAGTCTCAATTTTAAAAAGTTGTAAAGAACAATTTTAATTATTCTAAAAGAAAGAAAAATACTTCTTTCGCCGGCTTATTCACGCAAACCACGTGTGTGTTCACCTGCTCGGTGGCCGCAACCGAAAATGATGGATTGCATGAGTTTTTTTTTTTGGTTAAAAAGGATTGTATGGTTACTATATAAAATTAAAAAAGTATACATCTAACGTAGTTTTTTGTTTCACAAATTTGTCGATTTATATCTTTATAAAGACTGGATTGTTTTCTTTTATCGAAGTTGAAATTAATTTATGCGGTACCTCAAAATTAAATTAGAGAATTAAAGAGGGTTAAAGAGACATAAACATAAACATATCGTATTATTATTTTTTGGCATGCACCACATGTCAAATTAACTTTAGTTGAATCATTCGCGAGAAATAAAATAATTGATGCAAGTTAAAATCCAAAGCATATATTCATTATTGAGAAGATTAGGAACAGAAGGCTGAATCTGAATCACACACCAAATGGAGCAAACGACACCAGTCGGATGTCTTTGTCACTCTTTTGTCTTCCAAAAAAAGAAAAGAATATAAGAAGTTTCCGTTAAAGGGATATTTTGGACCTTATTATAATTATCAATGAGACAATTTCAAATTTACCCCAAACAAATATATGTATACATAACTTTGATATGGATCTTTATACACTCTGGCACCAAAAGAGGTTTATGTCCGGAAGATTTGTGCTTGTGTAAAATTTAACTTCACTCGGTCATAAAAAAAAACTTTGTGTTTAACTTCTACAGCTAAAATCTAAATTTAAGATTCGTATTAGGCGTAACACACTCTTCACAGTGAAATGATCACTTCAGTACTCAAATCTAAAGATTAAAAAAAAAATCTAAAGATTCATGAGTTCATATATAAACTATAAATTTTGCCATTTAACAAATTTTTTTTTTCATCATAATAACAAATTGTTGGGGTTTTCCAACTCTAAAGACCCAACAATTCGTTACTCTCAAAGTCTCAATCGTTTGTTTGATATATAAAAATATTAGTATTCTGATGTACTCTCAATATTTTTGTTGATATATTTTATTGGTTAACATTAATGATTTCATATGTTAATAATAAATTGTTTAGGTAAACAACATTACTTACAATTTATTTTTTACATCAGCCATATTATTTTAAAATATAATTAAATTATGAATGAATACCCACTTGATTCTAATTATGTATATTCTCATATGTGATGCTATTAATGTATAATATTTTTTATAGTTAGCTTTATGTATTTATTACGGAGATGTTAACACTTTCCAACTTTGGCCTTTTCGATTTTGATATATGGCTCTGTGCACATAACTTTTCCCTCTCATTCATTACATACAGTTCACGCCTCTTTTTATCTCATCATCAAATCCAAAAAAAAAATGAAGAGAACAAAATATATCAAAATCACCCCAAAAAAGAGAGAGAGAAGAGAAACTCAAACGGCCTGAATCAATGGCTACCTCCGCCGCGGAATTACCTCCGGCGAAGCGAAGAAGAATCGACGGCGGAAAGGAGGTCGCCTTAATCGAAGGACTTCCCGACCACATATCAGAGATTTGCCTTTCCCTCGTTCACCGTCCGTCGCTACTCTCCGCCGTGTGTACACGGTGGCGCCGTCTCCTTTACTCTCCGGAGTTTCCTCCGTTTCCGTCTCTCTACGCGCTTTTCGTCGATTCAAACTCGGATCCAGCTGCTCCGGGTCAAAGTCGGGTCAACCCAGCTATCCGGTTTATGTGTTTCGACCCGGTTTCTTCGAAATGGGATCCGCTTCCTCCTCCTCCACCCGACCTACCTCTTCACCGCATTCTCTACCGTCATCCGTCGTTTATTTCCTTTAATTTACCGATTCAATGCGTCTCCGCCGCCGGAAAACTCTTCCTCATCGCCGGGAGCAACCGTGAACTCTCTCCGGCGATTTCGCACCCTCTAATTTTCGATCCAATCTCATCAACCTGGACCTCTGGTCCTCCAATCGGGTCGCCAAGACGATGGTGCGCCACCGGAGCTTGCGGCGGAGTTATCTACGTCTCGAGTGGGATGGGTTCGCAATTCTCGACGACCGTCGCGAAATCGATCGAGAAATTGGATCTCACGAATCGAAATCGGATTCAATGGGAGAAATTAAGAGAGATGAGAGACTTACGGTTTAGCCGAGAAGCCATAGACGCAGTGGGATGGAGAAGGAAGCTTCTAATGGTGAATGTAAAAGGCGACGCGATTAAGGAAGGAGCAATATACGACGTCGTAATGGACGATTGGGAATCGATGCCGGAGGAGATGGTGGTTGGATGGAGAGGTCCGGTGGCGGCGATGGAGGAGGAGACGCTGTATTCGGTGGATGAGAGGAGAGGGACGGTGAGAAAGTACGATGAGGAGAAGAGAGAGTGGAGAGAAGTTGTGGTGGTGGAAGGTGGAGAAGAGATGCTTAAAGGAGCTCAGCAAGTTACGGCGGTCGCCGGAAAACTCTGTGTTGTTACCGTTGAGGGAAGAATTGTTGTCGTGGATGTTGTGGCGGAGCCGGCTAAGTTTTGGACCGTGGAGATCCCTCAAGGACTTGAACCGGTTTCGGTTCACGTTTTACCAAGAATGAGCCGACCGGATGTTTGCTGACGTAGTTTTTTAAAATAATTTTTTTTTTTATCTTTTTCTATACGGAAACTCTTGTTTTAGTTTTTTTTTCCCCCCTTTTTCTGTGGAAAAAGTGTTATCTTGTCGTTATTTTTTTATACATTCAAGTCAAAGACTTACATAAGAAATATTTAATATACTATACTTTTGTTTGTTTTATTTGCATCTAGCTTCTTCTAACTTTTAAAAATGTCGTTTGGTTCTGGAAACATGGAATCACTCTACATTATCCGAACCAACAGATAATCAATTCTGCTATGATATAATTTCACATCCAAAAAATAGAATTGAAGAAAATCCATGGACTAAACCTCACGTTTGAAAGAATCTAAAATTATAAGCAATATAATAAATAAAATGAAATATAATGGCAATCAACTTATTATCAATTGCTTTTTGGAGTTAAAAGTATTTGAAGATGAAATTACTCGTGATCATTCTACGTTTTATTTGCATGGAGATCGATGAAGAATACAAAAACTTATCGAGTAATAAAAATGCCACTGGTGATGCTATAATGTGAAGAGATTCACCAACTTGTAGGAAACAAGAGCAAGTCAGGTCACTAATTTATTCAAACAAATCAACAGATGGATAAGACTGTTATCATAAGAATCACATATACATGGCTTAAAATACATGCATGCATTATATAAGCTATGTGTAGCTCTTTTTTTTTTTCCGTTACATGTTGGAGCGGTCCATATTCTTATCCATTCTTACTCATCCTATACGCTGTGATGAAGAAGTATACTAAACCGCCACTTCGACCTCTTTTGTCGTCTTCTGACTAAGTAATAGGCCCATAAGGCCCAAAATTACGTTATCGAATAAGGTTTAGATAACATGGTTTTAATAAATTGATTTTAATTGAATAAAACCAAATTTTAGAAATGCTCTATCTTTTAAGTAAAAAAGGGGTTTTAAATGATCTGATCAGATCCATTGGGCCATTGAGAGAAATAAAGGCCATTGTTTGTTGTTAACTCATGTGTTGTACTTGTAACGAGAATCATTGGAGTTGTATTATGAAACACCTGTGCCAATTTGATGTATAGCGTGATTACTTCTATTTACACAGGGTTGCGGTGTTATTTCTTCATTTTCTTTAGGTCGTTGATCTTCCAAATTTAGAAGTTCGTTTATTATGTGATTAACTATCCAAAATAGAGAGTCACAAGACTTGGAAAACAAAAGAGACATTGCAATCTCTTGATAAATCTTGTGCAATTAAAAATTTCATAGAGCTCACCTCATGCTAAAGGTTTATCTTGTGCAACACAAGTCTAATTCCTTTGTTCTCAAATACTTTTCCATTTCTCTTCAATCTTCTTCATCTCCATCTCCACCATGCTCTATTTTTTCATAAAATCTTGATCCAAAGGAGACGAGCTTGAGAAGTCGTTTCTTGTACATATACTGTTCTTTTTTTAGTTTAAAAACGAATCAAAATAATCTCTTCCTACATTTTTCACCATTAGGTGACAAAAGAATCCACCTTATTCTTCTTCTTTGATTTCCCAAAAACAGATTCCAATTCCCAAATCTATGATAAATTTGGACTATTCAAAATATGTATGATCATGATATTTTCATTTGTTATGAGGTTCTACGCTTTCTTCCTTCTTCTTTCTTCCTTATAAGATAAAATTTGTGACAGGTTTTAACTTCTGGTTCCTTCTTCTTTCTTCCTTATAAGATAAAATTTGTGACAGTTTTTAACTTCTGGTCCATAATCTCCGTCTCAAAATGAGTTTGAACCCCAATGTATAATGGAACCAACTACCACTAATACACCACTCCTTGATAATATTTTGCTTATTGTGATTATGTATATATAAGAAACTTTTTTTTGTCGTACATATAAGAAACCTAATTTACAAATATTGTAGGAATCAATAATAATTAATTTTTGATTATTGATAATCTTAATAAGGTAGAGTTCGCCCTAATTGGGTTTTAATTTTGGATTTCAACAAATATTTGGCAATGAATAAAAACAGTTTTTTTTTTTTAAAGTGGCATAAGAAGAAGAAATAGCGTAGACCAAACGCTTATCAGGAAATCTGTCGTCAGTGGATTTATTCCAAACCCTTCAAAGTATTCCGTCGAACTTCGCGTATATATTCTCAACCGCTAAATCAGAGTGAGAGATAGAGAAAATCAAAAATCTTCCGGCGAAGAAAAAAAAGAATGCAGATCTTCGTCAAAACCTTGACCGGGAAAACCATAACCCTAGAGGTTGAAAGCAGCGACACCATCGACAATGTCAAAGCCAAAATCCAGGTCTCTGATTCTCTCCTCCCACTTCGAATTCGACTTGTTCTTGCTTACTTTCTTTCCCCTTTGTTTTTTTTTTAGGGTTCTTGGGTTTGTGATTGTGAAATTCCTTTCTTTTTCAAGTGTTTGAGAATAATTCACACACAGATAGGCGAGCCCTAGGGTTTTGGCTGCCTCGTAGAAACTCCTTTGTTTGATGATGTTAGGTTTTTATTCTCCATTCTGTTACTGGTTTAAGGTATAATAGAGCTATTGGTTTTTGAAGCGTAGATTCTTGACCAATCGAAGTTCAGAGTCTTTTAGAATTCCGTATAAAAATTTGGATTAATCCTTCTTGTGTTTGCTTGCTTTTTGTATTTTGTTGATGTTTTATGGACAAATTGGAGGTTTCTTTCCCCAAGTTGAGATTTCATGTAGTCTTATAAGATGATCTACTTGTTGGTAATTCAGATGAAGAACTTCGATTTGAATCGCTTGAGAATGCTTAATTGTTTGTGAGATTGTGAAAATCGAAATAAAATTCTTCATCATCTTGATGTAATAGTATCTGATTATTGGAAATGATCTTTTAAGATTTCTTTTTTCTTTCTTTGGACGGGATTGTTGAATACAGGACAAAGAGGGGATACCACCTGATCAACAGAGACTGATATTTGCTGGGAAACAACTTGAAGATGGACGAACACTAGCGGACTACAACATCCAGAAAGAGTCGACTCTTCACTTGGTCTTGAGGCTTAGGGGTGGTACCATGATAAAGGTCAAGACTCTCACAGGAAAAGAAATTGAGATTGATATCGAACCAACCGACACTATTGATCGGATCAAGGAACGTGTTGAGGAGAAAGAAGGCATCCCTCCTGTTCAGCAAAGGTAAACTATATATACTTATCAATTACTTTAGAAGACTTTGTTGACAAAGTTTTTGTGTAATGGAAAGATTGAGTTCCCATTTTGGGTGTAGGGAAGCTTCTAGGAACAATCCACTACTTATTTGTGTCTCTTATGTTGTTCTTGTGTCATTGTGATATCTGTATCAGCTCGTTTGGAGTCGTTCATGTGTTTAGTCAAAATTGATTCTTTATGTAACTTGAGTTATCATGTTTCTGTGACATAAAACCTGTCTTGTGCCCTTGTGAAAATTTGCAGCTCCTTTCTATAAGTGGTTTCTTATGTTTTTGTCTTTAGTCGGTTATATACTCTGCGTGCATGCGGATTACAACACAGATTCGCATGAGTATTTGTTGGATGCTTATAAATCTCATGGATTATTGCAGGCTCATCTATGCCGGAAAACAGCTAGCTGATGACAAAACGGCAAAGGACTACAACATAGAGGGAGGCTCTGTTCTTCATCTGGTTCTTGCTCTTAGGGGTGGTTTTGGTCTTCTCTGAGAAATAATTCTCTCTTCTATCTAAGTTTATTTCTATCTAAGTTTATTTGCTCCAAGAGTTTCCTTTCTATGGCTTTGGTTGAGTTCATGAGAAAAAAGTGAATGCAATTTGGATATATGATATGCTTTAAATACTATGGCTGGTGTTTCAGTTGGTTTGGATCATTTTACCAATAATATGTTCAATATTAAAATCATACTTACTATTTGGACTTAGTTATGTTTGATTGATATCTTTAATTTCAAGAAAGAGGCCCGTAGATTGAGATTGCTGGCGAGTATAAGAATCTTAAAAGTGAGAAAAGATTATATCAAAATATTTGATTAAACAAGTCTTTTGACTAGAAGATAGTGCATGAGTATTAAAGGACCCAACCAAAAAATAATAAGTGACCGTTGAGATTCGAACGTTAAGCTTTACAAGACATAAACGTTGCGGACGGGACAGAATCGGATTCTTCCAGAGCCTCCCAAGGAATCACATATATAAATATGATCTATATGAAGTAGAATCAAAGCAAAACAAAAAAGTCCAGGAAACAAAAATAGGAAGAAAAAAAAATCAATCAGAAAGAAGTGAAAAACTTGGATCTCAAGATCAATGGGTTTGGTGGTGGTCATATCTCTTCCTCTAATTTTCTTCTGTCTTCTTCTTGGATTCGGCTGCTACTTCCTTGGCAAATCTCGCGGCCGTCGTGAGATCCATACAAATCCTCAGGTGTACGGAGTTCCTGCTCCGCCTCCCGGTGCAACCATCTCCACCGCCTCCTCTCCGTCGTTGTCTCCTCACACCAAGCCGGACAGTTCACACAATGTCTGATTTTCCATCTCCTTCTCTCTATTGGAAGATGCTTCTGTTTGATTTACTGTGAATTTCTGTACTTTTAAAAAAAAAATTTAGCTTTCTTGAGATATGTTCCTTTCTTGATTTGTGTACTTTATATGTTTCTTATGTAAATTAGAGCCTTTGATGCCATTAAGAAAGTTTAAGGAGTGGTATGGACCGTATGGTTTTAAGAATTTTGTTTACACTTGATTTTAAGAAGAAACCTCTCGAAGTATCTGATAACATAGCCTAATGTAGCCACTTGGAAATCTTGACAAAACCAAAATATCATCTTGGATGTGTAGTCCAAAGAGGCAGAATTTTCCTATAACGAAAAATATATGCTCTTAAAATAGATTAAAGAAAACCATGCTCTTAAAAGATCCATTCATAATTACGTAATTGAGGTGTTCATAAGTTCTAAGATTCTTTTGTATTTTAGTTCAAGAGATATTGATAAAAGAAATGGTTGTGACTTGTAAGTTGTAACAATTCAAACAAACGCTAAGTCATTTGCAAAAGATACTTTCGTTTGATTCATAACCCGCAGAATGGTGGAACGATTTGTAATTCTGCTTTGCATTGTACATCCATTTTGTAAAATTACTGAATGATACAAATGTAACACCGCCATTATTCGTAATTTCCAATCAAATCAATTGGTAAACTACATAACCTTGAAAATGAAAAGAAAATCGAGAAGGAATGACGGGAATAGAGTTACCGAAATTAACCGAACGTTTACACTTTAGTACTTTACATATAGCTTAACTCTTTATTTTGATTAAGGAATATATCAATTTTACACTTCATTTTTTTCTTCCGGTCTACATATGTATATTTATATATTTATGGTTTTACTCTTTATACATAGCTGAATGATATATAATAATATAATGAAAATAAAGATAAGTCGTGTCGTGTGTAGTCCACATATCTTCAACATGAGATGAGAAATTACAAAATCCGCGGGAAAATCTCTTATCCATGACATGTAACTTATCAACCACTCACAACACGCCACATAATCAGAACGAAACCTCGTCTCTCTTCTCTTATCTTCCTCTTCCTCCACTAAATCTATCTCTGAAGAATCTAAAGCTCATCCCTCACACACACACCCCATAAGCCCTCTCCACTAATTCCAGAGAAACCCTAAAAACATCCGAAAACAGAGCGATGTCGCTCACGATCCCGACGAATCTCGTTCTCAACCCGAGATCCAACAAATCTCTCACCCAATCCGTACCTAAATCCGCCGCGAGATTCGTCTGCTCCGATGACAAACCCGCGACGCAGAATCAGTCCATGAAAGCTTTCTCGGCGGCCGTCGCGCTCTCTTCCATCCTCCTCTCAGCTCCGATGCCAGCCGTCGCCGATATCTCAGGCTTGACCCCTTGCAAGGACTCGAAACAGTTCGCCAAGAGGGAGAAGCAACAGGTCAAAAAGCTCCAATCTTCCCTTAAGCTCTACGCTCCTGAGAGTGCTCCTGCTCTTGCTCTTAATGCCCAGATCGAAAAGACCAAGCGCAGGTTCGTACATAACCCAGAATTAAAAAAATCCCAACTTTCCGCTCACTTCAATAGTTTAGATCCCAATTTCATATTTTCTGAATTGTTTGATTTTACGGTAAATCTATTAGCTTCCTAGATCAATGATTACATGATTCTATAATTCAAAGTTTCCTCCTTTATCTGATAAAAACTGTGAAATGGTTTGAAATTCATGTTCCTAAACCGGAAATTAGGAGCTTTATGATACCAAATTGATTTGAAATTGCTGTTTGGGTCAATGGAGCTTTCTTTGCTATAAAATGGTCACTATACTTTGAATGGAAATTGAGTAGCTTTATGATTAATTGAGCTCACTAAACTACTTTATAAGCCCTGTGGATATTGATTTGTGGATGGTTAAAAATGGTTTGGTTTAGGTTCGACAACTACGGCAAGTACGGGCTACTATGCGGCTCAGACGGATTACCACACCTGATAGTGAACGGAGACCAGCGGCATTGGGGAGAGTTCATAACTCCAGGCATTCTCTTCCTCTACATCGCCGGATGGATCGGGTGGGTCGGGAGAAGCTACTTGATCGCCATCAGCGGCGAGAAGAAACCGGCCATGAAAGAGATCATCATCGATGTTCCTTTGGCTAGTCGCATCATCTTCCGTGGTTTCATCTGGCCAGTTGCTGCTTACAGAGAGCTACTCAATGGCGATCTCATTGCCAAAGATGTTTAGACAAACCAAAAACCAAAAACAAAAACATTCTATATTGCTCTGTTTTGCTTTGCTTCGCTTCTTCTCTGTTTTTTCCATTGTATGTATTCAATCTCTGGTTAACTCTTCCTACCGAACCGAATATCTCTGCAATATCGAATACTTCTGATTTGGATTACGGTGGTTAAATGTTAAAATGTTGAGAATCCTGTATTGAAATTCTCTGCAATTAACAAAGGTTTGCCGATCGATTTATATCGAAAACAGAGACTTTCACTCTATTTGATGTTAGAAAAAAAAAGAAACAGCTTGCAAACGAGTGATTCCGTGTTGTTTATACCAAAGCATTCACTAAACCGAAATCGAACCACATTAACCAAACTTCGATTTGATTTGGTACAGAACAAACGCCCTAGGCTCCGAACTCTCTTCTGGAGAGTATTCTTCTTTAGGGTTTAAATCAAAATCTCTGATTCTCTGCGAATGATTAGTACTCGGACTTGTCTCTCTCCCTCAGATCAGCAAATACAGCACGAGCATGATGAAAAGAGGAGTAAAAACTCTGGATTCCATCCCGATTGATCTCTTTCTCGAGATATTCTCGAGATTACCTTCAAAGTCAATCGCTAGGTTTCGTTGCGTGTCAAAGCTATGGGGTTCCATGCTTCACCTTCCATATTTCACAGAGATGTTCTTGACAAGGTCATGGGCTCGTCCACGTCTCTTAATCATCCTCCAAGGATGCAGCGAGTATAGCGTCTTCTCGTCGCCTCAGCTTCAGAATCCATACGGGAAGTCGTCATCCTCTCTTGTAGTCGTATCTGCCGATTTTCATGTCAAGTTCTCTAGAGACATGTGGTCTACAGAGTTTTGTGGCATTACCTCTGGTTTGATCTATTTCTCTAGCATGCGGATCTCAGAAAAGAATGGTGGGGATGCAGTAAGGCATGTGATATTTAACCCTAGAACGAAACAGAATGCGACCTTACCTAAACTGACAAAAGACGGAGTGAAGAGAATTAGCGTGTTAGGGTTTGATCCGATTGACAAACAATTCAAAAGTATTGTCCCTCGCTAATCCATATTGTAACGTAAGGGAGGATCATATAATTCTGATTCTGACGTTAGGAACTGGAGAAATGAGTTGGAGGAATACCCAATGTCCCTTTTCCCCATTACAATTATAGTTTGAGAAAAGGGATGTGCATCAATGGGGTTTTGTATTACATATCTAAAATTTTTTGCAGACCTCATAATGAAAAGTTTTATGTGATAGTTTGCTTTGATGTTAGGTCTGAGAGCTTCAAATTCATTGAGGTAGAAGAATGCATTTATTATGCTACATTGATAAACTATAAAGGCAAATTAGGTGGGATTAGAACGGAGTATGATGGTGATAGCAATACCCTTGAGCTGTGTTTGTGGGTTCTAGAGGATGTCGAGAAACATCAATGGTCGAAATATGTCTACATTTTGAAAGATGATGAATTCGTTGAAGTCTGCTTTCTTAACGTCGCTGGAGTAACAACTGCGGGTGAAATTGTGTTGTCAATGAGATGTACATCTACAACGTTTTATGTTTTCTACTTCAACCCCGAAAAGACACTCTCCAACATGTTGAAATCAGAGGTTTTGGAGAATACAACGATGATAGAGTTTATGTAATGTTACCGATGCAAAGTACCTCAAGTCAAGCCAAGGCCTTAATATCATTAGGCAAAGGCCAAAACTACCAAAACCATAATATCTTTGAAGAACAAGTATGAATTATTGAGCTAACCTAGAGTGAGGACAACTGGTTTGTTGTTGGCTAATCTGATCTTGGAAGCCAATCAAATTCCATGCATAAGAAGAGTCTAGCCAGTTTGGCTGTGAGTGTGATTTCTCATTTACAGGTTTCGTGTGAGCTTTTTATTACATTCCTAATGAGCAAGTGAATCCGTTTTTTTTTTTTTTACCTTTATTTTCCATGATCAATTTCCTTGCTCCGCAAGTCATCTAAAAGTTCTGTTTAATACAAAGAAATTGCATTCCTTCAGTGAACGAAGATTTATTTACCAATTTCAGATTTCTAGGAATTCTACGCAGAAACAAATTACGAATTTTTTTATTTATTCAGATTCTAGAATTTGAAGTCTTCCTACCTCCTCACACGACTCTTTCTTCGAAAAATACATCACAAAACTATTCTGCTGAACCAAACTGTTAACCGGACCAAATTGCTCAATATTTTATATACCGGGACTGGTATTTATTGGATTAATCATTGGTACGCTAATCTCAGATTTTAGTGTCTAATTAATTAGGTTAGTGCCCGACTCTCTATATTTTTTTAGAGTCTCTGCGCGAATGAGTTTTACACAGCTACAGCGATCATAATGAATAGAGGAGGAGAGATTCGATGTCGAAAAAAAGAAAAGAGGAAAAAAGGTTCCAGATTCTATCCCAAAGTCAATCGCAAGGTGTCGTTGCTTGTCTAAGCTATGGGGTTATATGTTTCAACGTTTCACCGACTTGTTCCAGACCAGACCTCGTCCGAGTCTCTTATTCGTCCTCCAACGACATGGCGAGTGGAGCTTCTTCTCATCGCCTCAGCTTCAGAATCCATACAAGAAGTCGTCTCTTGTAGTATCTGCCGATTTTCATGTCAAGTTCTCTAGAGACATGTGCCCTGTAGCCTTTCATATGAAGTTCCTAGAAGACATGTGGCCTTCAGACTTTCGTGGCCTTACCTTTGGTTTGATATATTTATCTAGCATGCGGATCACAGAAAAGAATGGTGAGGATGATGCAGTAGTGCATGTGATATTTAACCCTAGAACGAGACAGTTTGCGAGCTTGCCTAAACTGGAAACGGACGGACTGTCGAGAAGCTTTTTAGGGTTTGATCCAATTGACAAGCAATTCAAGATCTTGTCTGTGGATGTTGATGATCATAGAATTCTGACGTTAGGAACGGAAGAAATGAGTTGCAGGAAGATCCAATGTCCTTTATGGCATCGTTCTTGGCCCGAAGAAGGGATATGCATCAATGGGGTTTTGTATTATTTAGCTGAAACTTATGACACATCTGATGAACCGTATGATGGTTATGTGATAGTTTGCTTTGATGTTAGGTCTGAGAAATACAAATTCATTGAGCTAGAATACTTTGAAGCTAAATCGATAAACTATATGGGTAAATTAGGTAGGATAAATTGGATGTATACTAGCGTTGGAAGTGGAAGGCGTACCCTTGAGTTGCATATGTGGGTTCTAGAGGATATCGAGAAACAGGAATGGTCGAAATTTGTCTACACTTTTCCGGCTAATGAACTCGTTGACCTCTGCTATGTTTCGGTCGCTGGAGTGACAGCTACTGGTGAAATTGTTTTGTCGATGAAGTATACATCTAAACCGTTATATGTTTTCTACATCAGTCCCGAAAGAAACACTCTCCAACGTGTTGAAATACAAGGTTTTGGAGAATACTATGATGATAATAATCATAGAGTTTCTGTATTTGTTGACTATATGTAGAAGATCTTAATGTTACCGATGCAAAGTACATCAAGTCAAGCCAATGCCTAAATATCATTAGGCAAAGGCCAAAGCTACCAAAACCACAAAATTTCTCTGCAACACAACTCCATTTTTGAAGTTGTGAGTGCGTGTGACTTCTATTTACAGGGTTTCGTGTGAGCTTTATAATCTATTGGCTTAGCTTTTTTTTTTTTTTTTTTTTTGCTCTTTCTTGTTATTTTCTTCATGTCCTACTGTCAAAAGTTGTTTATCGACCCTCTATAGTATTTTTGTTTTCTCTGACTTTGTTTTCACGAAGCTTCTAGATCGATAGTACAGGAAATAAACGCTGTTTTTAGTCACTAACATAAACAAATCTCGTAAGAAAAACTGGAAATTTCTCAAAAATTGCAAATTCTCCCATGCACTGTTTTGGTCTATATATATCCATTTCTTGACAAGGTCATGTGCTCGTCCGCGTCTCTTATTCGCCCTCAAACGAGACGGAGAGTTGAGCTTCTTCTCATCGCCTCAGCTTCAGAATTCATACGGGAAGTCGTCCTCTCTTGTAGTATCTGCCGATTTTCATATGAAGTTATCTAGAGGCATGCAGAGTTATTTCCAGACTTTCGTGGCCCTACCTCTGGTTTGTTATATTTCTCTAGTATGCATATCTCAGCTAACAAGGGTTGGGATGTAATAGGGCCTGTGATATTAAACCCTAGAACGAGACAATATGTTAGCTTACCTGAACTGGAAACGTACGAAAGAAGTTCAGATTGCTACTTAGGGTTTGATCCGATTGACAAGCAATTCAAGGTATTGTCAGTGGCTAATGGTGATCATAGAATTCTGACTATAGGAACCGGAAAAATGATTTGGAGGGAAATCCAATGCCCCTTATGCCATTATCCTGAGCCTTATTCTGCGTCCGGAGAAGGGATATGCATCAATGGGGTTTTGTATTACTTAGCTGTAACTTTTCGCCTACCGCATGATGATTATGCGATAGTTTGCTTTGATGTTAGGTCTGAGAAATACAAATTCATTGAGATACAACCCTTTAGAGCTAAATTGATAAACTATAAAGGTAAATTAGGTAGGATTAACTGGAAGTATGGTTACAATACCTATGAGTTGCATATGTGGGTTTTAGAGGATATCGAGAAAAATGAATGGTCGAAATATGTCTACAACTGGAAGGAGTACCCCTATGTTTCCGTCGTTGGAGTGACCGCTGCGGGTGATATTGTTTTGTCAAACGGCTATACATATGTTTTCTACTACAGTCCAGAAATGAACACTGTCCAACGTGTGGAAATCCAAGGTTTTGGTGAATACTATGATCATCATATATAGTGTTTCTGTCTTTGTTGACTATGTAGAAGATCTTGATGTTAACGATGCAAAGTACCTCAAGTCAAGCCGATGGCTAAATATCATTAGGGAAAGGCCAAAACCACAAATATTCTCTGCTGCAACTCAACTCCATCTTTGAAGGAAAAGCAGCCGATATGACCCTCCTACTGAACAAGTACGAATTATTTATCAAACCTTGAGTGAGGCAAAGCCAAGCCAAATTCATGTGAAAGAGTCTAAGCTTGTTTTGGCTGTGACTGCATGTGACTTCTGATTTATAGTTTTCGTGTGAGCTTTATCACTCTGTTGGCCTAGCTTTTTTTTTTTGTTCTCTCTGTTATTATCTTCATGTCCTGATTGCATGTGTTCGACTTTACTTGGGAGCAAAATATTGTTTAATCAAAAGTTGTTTATCGACCCTCTACAGTATTTATTTTTTCTCTGACTTTGTTTTCACAAAACTACTAGATCAATAATAATACATGAAATAAACGCCGTTCTTAGTCATTTTATAGTCACTAACATAAACATATCTCGTAAGACAAATTGTAAATTCTCTCACATGCCGGATCAGAACTTTTAAGTCACTCTTCTAGCTGCTCTATCTGAGAGATATCACAAGCTATTATTAGACATTTACCCTTTGATATTTCATTTTTCGGTTAAGTCTGGTTTACTTTACCATAGAAGGTCTCGCAATGGTTTTCGCTCGAGGTGCTTAACACTTTTAAACAGCAAAGCCTGCTATTTTGCTTGAATAAATCTTGATTGTTCATCCCTTTTAGAATAATCAGGACAGATATTCTACTTTTTTTTCAATGCTTTACAATTTTTCTCGGGTTAGCTTCAGAGATGTGTACGCATATTGTCTATTGTCTGTGAGCACAAACTACTTTGAAATTTTGATGTCGATATAATGGCCACTGTTTCTTTGATGGTGTTATTCTGAGGATCATCAAAACTGGATTTTCAGCCATTATCTTTATACAAATCTTCACATGTATCTTTACATAAGCATAAAATTTGTTACAGTGAGGTATTTTCATTTTGTATTGGTTTATTCCATTGTTGTTGTTGATGATATCATGAAATTCGAGGCAATGAAGCTGCATTCAAGTTAGTTATCTAAAACTCCAAAACAAAAACATGAAGATATTAAATAAGCTCTGTTTTGCTATCTTTTTCTCCTTGAAGATGGTTATATCAACACTATAAACTAATGCAGGCCGCAGGAAAACACAGAGAAGACAAGAAAACCTATGTTGTTCAAGACAAAATATCATCATCATTCTTCAAGTTCTTGTGTATCTAGTGAATCTTAAATTCTTTATTCGGACCAAACTGTATTTCTGTTCTATTGAAAGTTGCATTCGTTGCGTGGCTTACCAAAACACACAAATGTAATCTGTAGTCTTTCAATACGTTTTTCTCTGCTGTTTGAAACATTAACTGATTGCGACTTGTGAGTGAGATTTCTTGAATCAGACAACAAGAATACTTATTGAATAGCGAAAAAATAGAAACATAACGATGACGACAAAAAACGCGTTGTGAAAAAATAAAAATGTCTATTTCCTTTTGGTTTCGATTTCAATTTAACCGAATCATCCATCGAGTCATAATTTTCATAAACAGTTTGAAATCTCTTCGGTCTAACATAACCCATTACCGGTTATCAGGTTCATGTCCTAACTGTGTTAGACTGTACTTGGAGCAAACTAAAGTTTTTATCAAAAGTTCTTTTAAGACCTCTATAATATTCTTGTTTTCTCTGACTTGGATGACTTTGTTTAGACCTCTGACTTTTTCTAGGAAACAAAACCAACAAATTTATATTGCTGTTTTGCTTGCTTCTCTCTAAATGTTTTTTGCCTTGTGAAACGCTCAATTCCTATAAGAGTTTACACAAGCAAGAACCCAACAAAATAACAAAGTCTTGTGTATAAAGTCATTATTAATACGTATAAAGTTTTCTTTTTCTTTTCGACAAAAGAGTATATAGTTATCTATACTTGTGTATATAGTCATCTATATTTCTGCATCTATAGTAAAAAACAAAAAAAAATTATTAAGGAGTAAGTAAATTCGCTTTTTTTTTTCATTTCGATTCCATGATATATGTGCTTTGGAAATATATTGATCGTTTCTTGTCTGAGTTAAATTTTCAGGTTGCTCATATAGTCTACTGCAAGCCTAGTAGCGTATGGTAATATCAAATATCGATGTCTCTCTCCTTGCAGAACAAATGCAATGTGGGATGTGCTTTCATCAACCTTTCTGAAAATATTGTCCTCCTTTAATAAGGTATGATTGAGTTGTGTTTAGGAAGTTACCAAATGTGTTTAAGAAAAAAAGCTCACCAGCAGAAAGAAACGTAACAAATTTGATGCTCTGTGTCTATTTTATTGTCACGAGAACAGAAGCGTAAACACATCAACAATCATATAAAGCTCACCTGCAACAAGATAGTGGTACGTTTAAGAGCAATAAATTTGATGCTCTGCGTCTTTTAAGTGATGATGAATTCACAATTGTTGTACTATAAAACAAAAAGAATTTACATGAAGATGTTAAAAATTAAATATCTGTTATTATGCTATCTCTGTTAAATCAACCCTGTAAAACTAATGCAGGTCGCAGAAAAATACAGAGTTGATAGGAAAACGTATATTAATTGTTCAAGAAGACACAGATATCATCATATTATTCAAGTTTAATGTTTCTCTAGTGAATCTTTATTTGGGATCAAACTGTATATATATCTTTTGTTTTTGAAAACTGACCGCTTTACCTTGTTCCGCAAGTAAAAGCTCTGTTTAATACAAACAAATTGCATTCTCTCCGTAAAACATCAAGTTATCAATGAAATTAAGTTCTTATATATTTTATGTCGGCTAAAAGTTGTTTTCAAAAATATATATGTTCCTTCCACATCCCAGCTGAAAGATAAAGTCACTTTTGTGTGCTTGTGAAATTGACAATGCGTCTTCACCGTTTTATCAACACAAATCAACAAAAACCTTATTCAAGGCTCTGTAAATGCTATCAGATTTTAGTTGTAATTAGCGGAAAAAAAAACGTCAGATTTTTTTTTTTTAACTTCTAAATTTATTATATATGACTAAGATAGTCTAAATGTAATACATCAATTATGATAGTTGGGACATAACAATGAAACATGTAAGATGTATTAATTGGTAGTGGTGGTTTATATATATAGTTTTGAACAGTTAATTAGCCTAAGCAAACACTACAATCGATTTGTAACAGTTTTCACCTGTAAACATTCGAAACTCTAAAACAGAGGATTGAAGTAATGTGCTCGAAAACTTACCTTTTTTCTGCTATGATTTAGAGGAACAATTTCTTGACGAATTTCAGATTCTAGGAATTTTCTTCGACAAATTCCAAACCATTAACCAGACCAAATTGCTTAATCTTTTGCAAACCGGAACTGGTATTTTATTGGATTACTTTATACCGACTTTGCGACGCTAGTCTCATATTTTTGGTGTCTTAGACTCTTAGGTTAGAGCCGGCTCTATGTTAGAGTCTCTGCGAATGATTTGTACTCAAGTATCTTTCTCTCTCTACAGATAAGCAAATACAACGATCATGATGAAGAGAGGAGGAGAGAAGATTCGATGTCAAAAAAAGAAAAGAGGAGCAGAGATTCCAGATTCCATCCCGATTGATCTCCTTCTCGAGATATTCTCGTGATTGCCAGCAAAGTCAGCAGCTGCTAGGTTTCGTAGCCTCTCGAAGCTATGGGGTTCCATGCTTCACCGTTTATATTTCACAGAGTTGTTCTTGACAAGGTCATGTGCTCGTCCACGTCTCTTATTCGCCCTTAGACAAGACGGTGAGAGAGAGTGGAGCTTCTTCTCGTCCCCTCAGCTTCAAAATCCATACAAGAAGTCTTCTCTTGTAGAATCTGCCGATTTTCACGTCAAGTTCTCTAACGACATGTGGCCTCCTGTAGACTTTTGTATGTACCCCCAAAACAAGTGGCCTGAAGTCTTTCGCGGCCTTACTTCTGGTTTCATATATTTCCCTCGTACACAGATCTCAGCAAAGAAGGGTTGGAGTCTAGCAGGGCCTGTGATATTTAACCCTAGAACGAGACAATATGTTAGCTTACCTAAACTAGGAACGGACTCAGATTACTTTTTAGGGTTTGATCCGATTGACAAAGAATTCAAGGTATTGTCAGTGGCCGAGAATAATAATAGAATTCTAACATTAGGAACTGGAGAAATGGTTTGGAGGAAGGTCCAATGTGGTGGTGGTCCCTTATGGCATTATTCTTGGCCTGGAGAGAAGGGATATGCATCAATGGGGTTTTGTATTACTTAGCTGAAACTTTTCGCGATACTACTGAACCGTATGATGATTATGCGATAGTTTCTTTTGATGTTAAGTCTGAGAAATATAAATTCATTGAGCTAAAATACTTTAAAGCTAAACTGATAAACTATAAGGGTAAATTACGTAAGATTAGTTGGAATTATACTGACGTTGGAACTGGAAGGCGAGCACTTGAGTTGCGTATGTTGGTTCTAGAGGATGTCGAGGAACAGAAATGGTCTAAATGTGTCTACACTTTGGAGGATGATAAACTCGTTGACTGTGATCATGTTTCGGTCGTTGGAGTGACTGCTGCTGGTGAAATTGTTTTGTCCATGGACTACACATCTAAATACACACCATTTTATGTTTTCTACTTCAATCCTGAAAGAAGCACTCTCCAAAGTGTTGAAATCCAAGGTTTTGGTGAATACTATGATGAGATTCGCCATAGAGTTTATGTCTCTGTAGACTGTGTAGAGGATCTTAATGTTACCGATGCAAAGTACTTCAAGTCAAGCCGATGGCTAGATATCATTAGGCAAAGGCCAAAACTACCAGAACCACAAAGATTCTCTGCAACTCAACTCTATCTTTGAAGAACAAGCATCCGACAACCTCAATGCTGAGGAACAAATACAAATTGTATTCCCTCTCTGTGAACATAGAGTTATCAAATAAATTCTTAAGAAAATGAGTTTTTTTTTTTTTTTTTAATTCATGTCGGCTGATGTTGTTTACAAAATATTTAAAACATAGCATTTTTTGGCTGAGTATGTGTGACTTGTCATATACTGGTTTCGTGTGATCAGCTTTATTAAGTATTTTGTGCTTTCTGGTTTTCATGTCCTAATTGTTTGTGTTACACGTTACTTTGGAGTTGGGAGAATAATATCAGCAAAGTGAGGATTTATCCTACATTGCGTTTCAGAAAGCTCATTTGTTCGTAATGTTAATGCTAAAAAGTTCCTTTAAGACCTAACCATTATTCTCTGCTCTGGAATATGAGACGCTTCTTTTCTTTCGTTCTGTGTATGCATTCTATTTAATTTGGACTGTTAAAGATAAGAGGAAAACACAGTTTGATTAGCGACGGTGTAAGAGAAACTCAGATTAAAAGTCCAAGACTTAGTTTCAGATAACAAATATGGCTTTGGGACGTAAAATGTTTCTTGGTGGCTCGGTAACAGAAACCAGGAAAGAAGACTGCATTTTGTAGTGCACCAAATTGGATCGTTTGTGTTTTGGCTCTCCAATGGCATGTACTGAGACATAATCGCCATGATTCCTGAAATCCGTATAAGACTGCATGCATTTTGGTTTAGACACAAAAATCAGAAGTATCACTAGAGAGATTCATGATGATGACGACGATGAATTTGATGATTCGTTAAGAGAAGCAAAAATGTGAGAAAACATACCCTGACACGATACTTGTAGAATACGTAACCACCTACACAAACACAGACGTGAAACTAAGATTATAATTAAGACTTAGTTTCAGAAAAAAAATTGGCTTTGTTAAGATCACAGACGTGAAACTAAGATCCCTATTGATATCGTTACCGAGATATTCTTGAGATTACCTTCAAAGTCCATCGCTAGCTAGTTTCGTTGCGTGTCGAAGCTATGGGGTTCTCTGTCTCACCATCTATATTTAGCCAAGTTATTCCTGACCAGGTCATGGACAAGTCCACGTATCTTATTCATCCTCAAAGGACACCGCCAGTATAGCGTCTTCTCGTCGCCTCAGCTTCAGAATCCATACGGGAAGTCATCCTCTCTTGTAATATCTGCCGATTTTCATGTCAAGTTCTCTGATCACATGTGGTCTGCAGAGTTTTGTGGAGTTACAAATGGTTTGATCTATTACTCTAGCATGACAATCTCAGAAAAGAAGAGTGAGGATGCAGTAGTGCCTATGATATTTAACCCTATCACGAGACAGTATGCAAGTTTGCCTAAAATGACAAAGGACGGAGCGGAGAGAGCTAGCGTGTTAGGGTTTGATCCGATTGACAAGCAATTCAAGGTATTGGCTATGGCCGCTTATCCATATGCTAATGAAAGGGAGGATAATAGAATTCTGATTCTGACGTTAGGAACTGGAGAAATGAGTTGGAGGAAGATCCAATGTCCTTTCCCTCATTACCATTATAGTTTGAGAGAAGGGATATGCATCAATGGGGTTTTGTATTACTTATCTAAAATTTTTTGCGGACCTCATGAATCTCATGATAAAGAGTCTTATGTGGTAGTTTGCTTTGATGTTAGGTCTGAGAGCTTTAAATATCATTAAGCTTAAGGTAGACGAATGCGTTGATTGGTATGCTTAATTGATGATTTATAAGGGCAAATTAGGTGTGATTAACCGGAAGTTTTATGGCGGTAGCAACATCCTTGAGTTTCATTTGTTGGTTCTAGAGGACGTAGAGAAACAGGAATGGTTGAAATATGTCTACATTTTGCCGGATATTAAACTCGTTGACCTCCGCTATGTTTATGTTGTTGGAGTGACTGCTACGGGTGAGATTGTTTTTGTCGATGGCAAGTACATCTCAACCGTTTTACACTTTCTACTTTAATCTCGAAAGGAACACTCTCCAACGTGTTGAAATCCAAGGTTTTGAAGAGGATTATTAATAGAGTTTACACCTCTTTAGACCATGTAGAAGATCTTAATGTTAACGATGCAAAGTACCTCAAATCAAGCCATTGCCTTAATATCATTAGGCAAAGGCCAAAACTACCAACTTAAAACCACAGAAACTTTGCAACTCTACTCCATCTTTGAAGAAGAAGAAGCCGACAACCCAATGCTGAACAAGTACGAATTATTAGCAAAGCTTGAGTGATGATAGGTGTTGATTTGTTGTTGGAGGCCAAGCCAAATTCATGTACAAGAGTCTAGTTTATTTTTGCTGTGAGTGCGTGTGATCACTTCTCATTTACAGTGGGCTTTGATTATCACTCTGTTGGCTTGGCTAATTTTGTTCTTTCTGGTTATCATGTTCATGACCTAACTGTGTTAGACTTTACTTGGGGAGCAAACTAATGTTTTATCAAAAGTTCGTTTTAGACCACTATAGTAGTTCTTGTTTTCTCCTACTCTTTTCTTATTACAAATTTACTAGATCGATGATACCGGAAATAAACGCCGTATTTATTCCCAAACGTAAACAAAATCTAGCTCGTAAGGAAAATTGGATATTTGAAGCTCGCAAAAATTGTAAATTCTCAAATGCTAGATCACAACTTTAAGTCACATTTCTTGCAGGCTTGCAGCTCTCACTGAGAAATCACTTGCTATAACTAGGCTTTTACCTTTTCATTATTATTATTTTTTATAGTTACGTCTGATTTACTTTACCAAATAAGGTCTCGCAATGGTTCTGTGCTCCAGAATCTTCTTTTAAAATTGTTTTGAGCAAAGCCTGCAATTAACTTGGTAAATATTGATTGGTGTTCATCTCTTTTAGAATCATGAGGAAAGATTTTTTTTTCTTTACAGGTTTGGCCTTCACAACACGCTGTGATCTCCCTATATTCTAGTTTGGTGACTTGATAATGCTTCTAATCATAAATTTTGCTACAGTTAGCTATTTTTATTGTGTATGGTTTATTCCATCGTTGTTGATATCATGAAATTCGAGGCAATGAAGCTACAGTTAAGTTATTTAACACTCCAAACAAAAACATGAAGATGTTAAATGGTTATATCAACCCTATAAAACTAATGCAGGCCGCAGGAAAATACAGAGAAGACAAAAAAACGTATATTGTTCAACAAGACACAGATATCATCATATTCTTGAAGTTCAATGTTTTCTCTAGTGGATCTTTATTGGGACGAAACTGTAATTCTTTTGTTTTTTAAAGTAGCAGATTTTTTTAGTGGCTTACCAGAACATACAAGTACCTGTAAATCATGTACTTTTTCGCAGTTAGCTTAGATGGTATCTAATTAGTCGATTTTCATCGTTTAAAATAATTATGAAGATAGTGCCAACTGGTAAGCTAGACTTAGACAAAACCAAAACCGAACATTTGAGGATCTATATGTGTATGTAGATAAAGACCGAATAATGTAAATATATATTTCACAAGTTTACATAAAAGTCTTTAACCAAAAAAAAAGTTTACATTATGTCAAATACAGAGTTCTCTCCTCGGCTGGAAATGACCCTCGTGGATTCTGGTCCAAAGTCCTACTACACCAAATCTCAAATACACCGAAATACAAAGAGATACCACTTATATATAGATAGATTTATAATGTATAAAACATACTTAGTATATATATATATATGTGTCTATATCATGTTAATAGTTTCACTCTGTAGTCAAAACAGAGTATTTTCATTTCCTACCCCTAATTTAAATATATAATCCCGAAAATTTCCCAAGAAAAAAAAAGAGAGGAAATGCATTGACAAAAAGAGAGAGAACTAGCAAGACCACATAGACTCTCCCAAACTCGCTTCATCAACCATGTCCATATGGCTAAACATGCTTTTGTTGTCTTGTGGACTCACTTGCTTCGACGATGGTGAGCCGCTGCTACTCGGGCTATCCGGACACAATCCATGGCCCGTGAAATTAGTTGAATGTCGTACACGTAGGTGCACCACTTCTGCTTGAGCCAGAGCTAGTTGGGCTTGTAACACGTCAATTTGTTGCTGAAGAGACGAAATCGCCCCTACGCAACCGTAAACTGGGTCCCGAACTCTTGCATTAGCTTCATAGACCATGCTGCTCACCGCGTCTCCACGCTGGTGGATTGGCAACTCCTGTGAAGGATTTTTGAAAACATCTTGTTAGCCATTAGAACTAACCAATCTCGCAAGAGTTCAACATGTAGATTCTACATTAGCTAATTAACAAGTGTATCTCAAGTCATTATTAACTTTAGCTAACAAAAGTTCAAGTGGTTGGATTTTACATCAGCTAACGAGTGTAGATATCATTAACATATTTTCTCAATTCTCAAACCTTTTCAAAAAAAATGTACAAGATCTATAGAAGTAGTACTCATAATAAAATGTAAATTCACAAATTTTTGTTTTAAATTCCTTAAATTAGTTTGACAAAAAAAAAAAATTCCTTAAATTAGTTTATTATCTATGGGTCGGTCGGACCATTCAGTAGTTGTCAATAAAAGTTATGGAAATGATAGTAATGTCTTTTTCTATATTTATAATTTAAAAAAATAAGAGAGAAGAAAAGTTATACTAACTAACCCCAAAATATGATTAAGCACGTTTTGATTAATTTTGGTTACATTTAAATAAAATTTACTTGAAGCATCTTGTTGACGTTGCTAGCACCGAACACTCTATGAACATTGGCGAATTTCTGAGGCTCGTCCGCCGGAAAATACGGCGAGAAAACGCAATCCTGAGCGCATCGTCGCCGCAAAAGCTTGCACGCCGCGCACGGTGACGCCGCTCCTTGCTTCCGGCCACTTTCCTTCATCTCTCGCTACGTCACGTGTCCCTTTGGATTTGTGAATTTCTGTACAGGATTGAATCTCAACCGTTGGATTGAGAGTTAATCGTCGTCAATTTTATCGAAAAAGCTTTGGAGTCTAGGTGAAGAGTGCTGAATCGGTTGAGATTTATAGAGTGAGAAAAATGAATTAAAAATTAAAAATGCATTAAGATTTTAAGACAAAAGAAAAAAAGAAAGTCAGCACATCTGGTAGTGGGACCCAAAGATTTGGAAAACACTTTAGATTTTTCTGGTCCTAGAGCAAAATTACATCACGTGACACGACCATTAAGCTTTTTGGCGCCAAATTCTATTTGTTTTTATTTATTTTCTTTTTGTCTTTTACTCCTTATCTTAAATTCTCATTGGTCTGAATATTATTTTATAATTTGTTTTATCAATACAAGTTGTAATTAATATTTTGGCCAGAACGTTTCAACTGTGTTAAACTAGTTATATTTTATAATTAAAATGGACTTTTAAAATGATGCCGACAAAAATAATATTTAAAATGAAATTTACCAAACTTGTGAAGCATTAAGAATCCCAAACCTAAAAATAAGAGGCGATATTGAGTAGTATATAAAAACAGAATCTAAAGTTAATTATTTTGAATTTAAAACTCATAAAACTTTACGTGAAGTCTATGCTAATTGCTAAAAAAAAAAAGTCTATGCTAATTGCTAAATAGCTTCTTCTTTGTTTTCTTGTTCACTTTGTTTTCTTCTTAGTTGCTTTTATAGAGCTAAAGGGAGTTTTCTCTTTGGAGTTTTTCATTTTTATAGAAATGTGTATACAATACATGTATAGGATAAGGAAATTTGTGGACTCGTGCTTGTGCATGTAATCATTGTTTCTATTTCTTTTGTTAAGCTTTCTTTGTGGGTCCCGTAATATGCATAGGAAAGAATATTAACTGAAATCATTTTTTAAATATAAAACTAAATTTCACTGCTTAAGACATCATGGAGTAGGGTAAAATGAGGAATCCTCGGAAATTAACGCAGAGAGATTTCATTTCATTTGCAACTTATTTTTCAGTTTTTATTGTCATTTGCTAATAACAACTTAACAATTGTCGTTTAACAATATAAAATTTTCATTTTTCCGACAAAGAAAACTTTCATTGTCATTTATATAAATGAAAATTTCCTATTGCCATTTCACAAGTTTTGCCATATTCAAAAACAGTTAAGTTTTTTTAGGTTATCCATACTTTTTTTCTATCTAACTTTGTGAAATCTGATCTTTTACTGTTTTTATCCAAGGTCACAAATTATAAAGAAACAACTACCTTAAAATAAACACAAATATATAATGGGGGCAAATATGTCGCGTCATCACTAGTCAAAAACAAAAAGTTGAAAGAAACAATACAGTGCACGCTATTTTTGTAGAAAAAGAAGGTTGAAAAGTACTCAAAGAAATTCAAAAACAGAAAAACAAAAAAAAGACGCCCATAGTTTCGAAATCAATATGAAAGATCGTAGAATCGTGGCGATCAATGTCCTTTTATCAAGCGAACTAGAAAACTAATGTTGTTCTTATTTTTTCTTTCTTCCTGAATGTAAATATACTGTATTTCTAGATATGCATACAATCAATTGAGTATTAGAAAGTATTCACACATTTATTTTTTTTTTGCATTTATCATTTTTGTTTTGGCTATGTTGGTGCTATCGTTTTCGGATAGAACTTTGCTTTCGAATTTTACTGGAGCAGATTATAGTCACTGTGAAGTGTTTGAACTTTAGATTGGCAATAGAAAAATCCAAAAATATTTTGGAAGAAATTTAGAAAGATAATATTGTTTTATTAGAAGGGAAAAGAGACACCACACTCGACAGTTTCCACTAGTGATAAGATTTGTATATATATGGTGGAGTGTCTTTCCGACAAACTATAACAGTCGACTCTTTTCTATAACCACTTAGACCATGTTCATTGAGAGCCCTTTCATATTTTTTAATTGAGTTGCTAATGAATATTTTGAGTTAAAATAATGAAAAAGAAGTCCAAAATATAAGAACTGACCCTTGCAGAAAGGTTTTTAGGGCTTGCTCTTAGAAGATTGCTTATAAAAAAATATTATAATATTCTTAAGGAACTTTTAATGAAACCTTTTAATGTACATGTCCTTAGAGCCTTTGCCGTTTTCCATCGTTCTTATTGGTCATGGAAAAATAAAGATTACTAATAGTATCTTTTTGTATGATGAAATTATAAGTTTACAAATTTTGTTAATATTTTTCTATATCAGATGCAGTGACCGGACCAAAAAGCATGATTTTTTTTCTTTTTGTATTTCATCAAATTATAGTAACAATATGAAATATTTTTGACGGAATGTGTCGGTTTCAATAGATCTCTTCCTCTCCAATCCCGAATCTTTGATTATTCTATAATTGGAACAAATGCATCGGCAGGTAGCTACTCGTTTTCTTTGGAACTATTATATAACTCCCCAAAAATATTATACCATTTGTATAATAATTTTATGAAAATGAATTACTATTAAAACCTTAAAATTAAACAACATGTAATTGTAATATGTAACATACGTGAATTTTTAAGATTTCAAATCATCTGTAGCAATTTATAACTATATATATATATATATATATATATTATGGATTGTTGAACCCTAAATCCATAACGTAAGTAAACTAAATACTTTCTGAAGTAAAGTCGACAGCTTTTGTGGTAATGGATTAATAGTGTCTACTTGTTTAGAAATTATCGTGTTAGTTTAAAAGTATAACGATTTTTCTCAAACATAAAATTATCTAATCATTTTTATTTGATCAGTCAAATTAAATAATGTCATGTTAAACTCGTAAAAAATAAATTCACGTTAGGAGATCCGTTGGATCGTAAATGCGCAAATCGTCTAATTATAAGAAGAAGAAAAAATGTCGACCGCTTCATGAGAAGAATATTATTCACTCCACTAGGAAGCGGCATGAACCATTCTTTTTCTTCAAACCTATTTTATAATTATTTGTTGTTGTTAAAAGATTACGTACCTATTTTATAATTTCAGATCTATTCCGTTCGTTCGTCAAGTGTTCGTCCGTTTTTTTGTTCGAAGTTAACTTTCAATGTTCTCCATTTCCATGGATATTTTTAGGTGTAGACAAAATATTTAGTCCAAATAAGGAATAAGTAATACATTCATTAAAGCCAAAATAACCTGTATGTTGACTTTTTAATATTTATGGGCCAACCGTTAAACCAAAATTAATTTTACATTTGAAGAAAGTTATAGAGAAGACACAGTGAAAATGTACATGTTTTATAGTTTGTTTCAGCTATATATAAATGTTTAAACATTAATCATACATACAGACATACAGTATATAGTTTGTACAGACACCCTCGCCCACTATCGGTATTTCTTCTTTAACATGATATTCTTCATAAACTAAACAATTGTAAAGCTAACGGAAAATATGAATTAAATGCATATGGATTTATTAAGCGATTCAGATTGAGTATATTCTTCTCATATTCTGGATGTTTCGGAATTATGGTTTATAGTTTCTTATGTCAAAAAATATATATATACCATGTCACATGTTTATAAGAACTATATCGTTTTCTCTCGATATACAGTATATTCGAATTGGATCAAACATAGCCAAATTAAATAGTCTATTTCTAATCGACATACATTTAATCATACTTAAATATCTAATTATACATTTAATCATACTTAAACCAAATTAAATAGTCTAGTTTCTTATGTCAAAAAATACGATCGTATTTCACACATAAATCCGATCTATGAAAAGCTCCAAAAATCAACGTCCAAATATCCTAAAATCCATGTCAGCCCAACAAAATGACTTATCTCTAACTCTCACAGCGAGATACGGAATGCTACTTCGACAACAATGATAATGAGCTTTGAACTAAACATAATAAGAAGAGCTTAACAAGTTAATCATATATATCTTTGAGTTGTTGAAGCTAACCTGAAAATGAAGTCGAGTAAAACACGTAATCCATACAGGATATATGGAGTCGTTGGACTCGACAAAAAGCTATAAAAGGAGATAAAAAAATTTAGTTTAGGGGATATATATTTTTCAATGTATTCATATATATGCTCTACGAGCTCGCTATAAACACTAAAAACACATCTTTTCCGATATCACTTTGTAAAATTTGATCCATTGATACAAATCCAAAAATTCGTTGATTGATCAAGTCTATTTAGATCTGAATCATAAAAAAATCTAGCTATCAATTCCTTATACAAATTGCAAATGTGATTTTTAGCATCCACAAAACTGCTCATGCTGCATTTAATTTGTAATGTAATTATTACAATATATGTCAACTCTTGTTGGAATTATAAAACTCAGCGGTAGTTAATTTGTCAAATTAAGAATGTCCTCTACAACAACCCTATTGATTATAAACTATTATTATTCCTTCGTTTTGCAACCTCTCCCTGACTTAATTAATGTTCCTTTCTAAATCCAAACAATTGAGTTATAATTTTCCTTAACTAAACCATTGTTTAAATAAAATATCATCCCAAGAAGGTAGTTGTACATATAGTCAAAAAGCAACTCTCATGATCATAAGTATTTAGCATGAGATTGATCATTAGCTTAATTCCCTTTAATCAATCAAACTATTAATTAAACTTAATAAAAATATCAAACTAAATGTTTGACAAATTTCTACGCGAATATAAAGTATTTAGCATGAACATATTTTCGTTTCTTAATTTATAAAATCTTTATGTAAACATTAGACTGTTTTTTTGTGCGGATTTTTGCATGTCTAAATTTAGTATTCAACACTTTAATTGTCGTTCACTATTCTATAAAGTTATAAAATTGGTCAGACGAATCATGAAACCCCTTCAAACTATTGTAATATAATACACTTTAAACGTACTTGCTTACATATATATATATATATATATTTGAAATAAATTTTAAATATAAAAAGATAAATTTAATGTAAAGTCAGTGAAATCAACCGTATATATATTTTTTCATATTATATAGCCATGTATTTAAAAAAAAAAAGATAAAACGTGAAGATTGATAATAGAAATGTTTTTTTAATATTTATATAT